ATGAAGGAGTGTGTAAGATGAGTCTCTATATTGTCTGAATGTGTATTTTTCCAGAAAGTGAGGGAGAGATAAAGGAGTGTGTACATGTGCGCGCATGTACGTGCATGTGCACGTGCTGTCTACATATTCATATGTATGTATGTGTGCATATGCACATGTATGTGCATGCATGTGGAGATGATAACATGACATCAGATGTTTTCCTCTATACTTTACAGAATTTTTTGAGGCAGGGTCTTATGGAACCTACTTATCACCAGATTGGGAATGCTGGTGAGCCAGCAAGCCCCAAGGATCCTTCTGTCTCTGCTTCCTCAGTATTGTTGTTTATAGGTGACAACTGGAATTCAGGTCCTCATGCTGATGTGGTAAGCTCTTGATGGACTGAGGCCTCTGCACAGCCTTTAAGAAAGGGTAATTGTTTTTAGCCAGCAACAACATGAACATCTAAGACATGTGCTCCCTATCTCCTGGCATTGCTCCAAGCCTTCTTTTATTAAATAATTTATCTGTATCCAAGGTAAGCAACGTAAGAATGTATTCAGTTTATTGAGCACTTAAGTAAGACTTAGGAAGAGATAAAGCACAGGCTTGACTCAACAGTCTCTACTCAGGGCTTGTGTGTGCCTGACATCTAACTTTCATCATCTCTTAGAACTTGGGGCATCCTGATGCTTCTCCTACAAACTCATTAGCTCAAACATGAGTCTTAGTCCACAGCTGGGAGAAAACACCTGTTGGGAGGTGACAAACTTCATTATGGTTTAGGGACATCTTTAGAATACAGGAGGGTGGGGATTTTGCCTTAAGAGAACGGAGAATGTATTTATGATCAATGTTTGATGTTTAAATGTGAGGGGAAAAAAGCAATTAGATTTGACCTTTAGTCACACCTAAATGATATAATGAACTTAGGGGAATTAATTGCATGTGTGTTTTAGGTTGGTGTCCTGCTAGTCTTTCATAGCACAAACCTGACAGAGTTAGGAATACTGTTGAATGGAGAGAGAGTCTGGGAAGTAAGACACAGGGAATGGTGTGGAATGGCTGTGCGAAGGGTGAAGACGATACCGTGCATCTAAAAAGGCCCATAGACATAGACCTGGAAGTTAACATGTTCGTCTTTGTATTGAGTTGAAAGTAGAAGCTTGATCTAAATAGAGAGTTCCAGGCCATATAGGCCTGTTCCCACCCCACCTCTTCAAAAGAATATACCAGCATCTATCATGATTTATCTGACTTTGCAATACAAAGAGAATAAGAAGTTGCTTTGTTAAAATGCTTTCAGCTCTTGGGTTTATTTAATTGTGTTTTTAAATCTCCCGTCTGATGCAATATTATTTAAAATGAAGTTAGCAGATAGAACATCTATGATGCAAGTAAGATGCTGAGTTACTTGTGAAGTACATTGACTGGCTAATGCTACCAGCGCCATCAAAATACAACTGTGTATATTTGAAATATAGATTCCTGCACCAGAAGCCTGGAAGCACAGTTTGAATGAGGGAGCTCGTAGAAATTATGCACAGATACAAATCCTGGTTCAGCCACTTTTATTTCACCTTTGGAAAATGATGACTTCTACTTCTACTGCTGACAGCAATCTTTATGGCTAGGGCTTGGCTAATAGGCTACAGCCTAGCCTGTGGCCAGCACCCAGTATTTGTTAGCTGTGGTTATCATAGCAATTCCATCAAGCCCAGAGCATTGGAGTCACATGTATCCTTGGGTAGATACCACCAGCACGTATTGTGAAGTAGCTAAACAAAGCTTACCTCAAATTCAAAGACCTGGATCCTGTTTTGAGCTCAGCTAGTGATAGAGTCAAGATGATTTTTTTTTTCTCAGCCTCAGTTTCTTAGTAAAATTAACAAGCCAGAGAGGTTTAGTGGGGCTCAAGTGAGATTACTGATAGGAAAAAAAGTGAAATGTAAAGGAACACTCAAGTCATGTAGAGTATATGTGCTGGATGCCCAGATGATGTCTAGATGTAGAAGATGCCCGAAGAGAAAGACGGTACTGATTTTTCAGCTCTTGTTCATGATTGTTCCACTGAATAACACTGACAACAGCCCTGGAAACCCATATAGTTTACACAGATCAAGATTCCTCACTGACCATGTTCATTCAATACAAAGGGACCTCGAAGCACAGACGCTTGGGTCCCCTCCCCCCTGCGTTTGCCAATGGTAGGGCATGGTCCATATTTTTTAAAAATGTCCAATATGTTGTCCAGTGTGTATTTCCTAATACTCAGCAAGGGTTGGTGTGTAGCCAGCAGGAGGTGCTGGGCTTCGAGCCACAGGCTGATGGAATTTGCCTTAAATTCTGTCACTAACTAGGAAGGAAAATTAAGAAGAAAGTCACTGAAGATTGCAAAAGAACTTTGAACACCTTTTCTTTCTATTTAAGACCAAGACAACTGGTTGTTCTCTTAACCCAGATCACCTGGCACTGGTAAAATTGGAGATACTAGAAACAGACAAATGAATCTGCAAAATTAGCAGAGCGTGGTTTGACAGGCTCAAGTTCTTTTTATTGTAAATCAGCTGATAAACTTCGTCTTAAAGTAGTTGCTTTTATTTGGTCGTAGCTAACCTGTGGCAGATGCTTAAAAATATTGTTTAAATAACTAAATATAAAACCACAATGGCCACCTACACACTACCTAGTTGTTTTATTGTTTACTGTACACAGAATGCCTAATATGTCACGAATGCAGTTACTTGTCATTTTGAGAATGGGTGGGATATTTGATGCCAAGGTGTGTGTACCAAAATTTCTAATTTGTCTTAATAAAAACCCAGAGTCAGATATAGGGGCTAATGCTGAAAGATCAGCCACCCACTGGTGTTTACCTCTACTGAATCCTCAGACCAAAGGGGCAATCCCGTCCCTACGAATCCGCAGAATGAATGCTGTCTCTATGAATCCTTAGACTGAATGCCATGAACTCCTGTCTCTGCCCAGCCATATCAATCCTGTCTCTTCCTCCGTAGTGTTGGGATCAAAGGTGCAAGCTCTGTTTCTCGTTTAGACTGGATCAATCTTGTGTAGCCCAGGATGGCCTTGAACTCACAGAGATTCATCAGTCTTTGCCTCCCAAGGGCTGGGATTAAAGCTGTGTGCCACTACTGCCTGGCCTCTGTGGCTAACTAGTGGCTAGCTCTGCACTCTAATAGTCAGTTAAGCTTTGTTATGGCACTAGCAAAATATCACCACAGGTGTGAAAATTTAGTCCCTCCTCCTAATATTTCCACAGAGTTGGATGTTAAGAGTGGTTAGATTCAGATAACATTTAAATACCCTTGATCTTTTAAATATTTAAAAGTTGTATTTAAATAGAAACACATTTAAATACTTCTTGGATGTAAAGTGGAATTGGATGTGTTTGAAGTGCTTCAGACTTTACATCTTATTCACAATATTTGAACAACCAAACAAGAATAGGTTGAATGCCACTGGTTATAGTGGTGTTAAATTTTCATTTGGACCAAGTTTGAAAGATCCTAAATGTTTCTATGCATTTTGGAAAGCTCGACAACTTTTGTTTACTTGTCAAATTGTGGTGTTTAAGATTAAATGACAAATGAATTAAAATGAAAATCTAGTTAATGTGATGGAGTTAAACCAGATAACTAGATCAAGATTTGCTTGTGACAGAGACTACAAATGCATTCCCATTGATCCAGATTGAATACTTATAAAATTATGTTCTAAGGTAAAGATATTATGGAAGGAAGTAAATGATTGTTGCGCTCAGAGATCTGGCTGTGTAGCAGAGACAAAAACTGGTGGCTTGTGCTTATTCAGAGAGCAGTTGGGTCATGTGTATTATGTGCTACATAATTAGAAGACTAACAAGGTATCACCATTTAAAAAGCAGAAGGTTTTACATTCTGAAATGTTCTTGTTCTCCAAAAATGTCTGTTTTTGCTGGACTCTCCATTTCTTCTTGGCATTAAAAGGATTGGAAGGTGTCTGATCCCTTTAAATGGGCCAGATACTCTCAGGCTAACCCCAATTAACTGATATACCAGAGCATTTTCTAAGAAGTACAAAGTTGTGTTTTGACAGAATGTGGTAGTTAGCATGGCCAGTAACCCCTTGTCCATGTGTTCTTTGTCTTGGAATCCCTGTCTCCAACTTCCCTGGGCGTCACCTATGCCTGTGTCTCCATGAGACATGCTTTCGTGTCTCAGCCTTATAAAAAGGATAAACAAAATGAACCCTAATTCAGCATGACTCTATCTTTAACTATATTTTTAGAAACTTTATTCCCAAGCAAGGTCACATGTGCAGAAATTCACATGCAGCGGTAACGGTGTACAGATACTGCGAATCAGAATTTCAACACAGATTTTTTTTTTTTGGGAGGGATGCACTTATAAGCTGGAAGCTAGTGCTCTGACTATAAAGTGGAGATGATAGTTTCAGCTAGCTGTGACTTTTGCAAGGTTTAAGTGGCAACTATGTTCAGAGCATCATAAGGTATCTGCTACTATGTTCAGAGCATCATAAGGTATCTGCTACTATGTTCAGAGCATCATAAGGTATCTGCTACTATGTTCAGAGCATTGTAAGGCATCTGCTACTATGTTCAGAGCATCGTAAGGCATCTGCTACTATGTTCAGAGCATCATAAAGTATCTGCTACTATGTTCAGAGCGTTGTAAGGCATCTGCTACTATGTTCAGAGCATCATAAAGTATCTGCTACTATGTTCAGAGCGTTGTAAGGCATCTGCTACTATGTTCAGAGCATCATAAGGTATCTGCCACATACCTCCAACTCAAAGTAGTTACCGCCCTTTACATCTTTCCATGCTCTTCCCAACCCACGTAGATACCCCATCTCCTGGCATGGTCATTTATGTTTGCTCAGATGTGAAACAGCAAATACACACACATCCATATATAACTTGATCCATGCTTCCTTCTACTAATCTAGAAGATGATTTTGAAGTGATTCTTTCAAACTAACATATTTCCCTTTTACAGGGTTTGTAGAAGGGACTCATAGTCCAATGACAGGTAAAAGACTTTATACTCACCAGTTCATAACCCCCAACTCTCCAGCGAGCACAGTCTCTTTCGAAGAAGAAATCTATGAAGAAGAAAGTCCTCCCCTGTCATCATCCAGTGAAATGGATGAAGAAGATTTGTTCTTTACTGTCAAAGAAGAAATACAAAAGCGACCTGGAGGACCACTGAAGCAGGCCTGGATCAGCCCATTTCTGGAAAAGCAAGCCGCAAATAAACTTCTTAAAAGATCACACTCAGTGAATACGGTTTCTTTGGAAGCTGCAGGTAGACACATACCACTTCAGAACCATCCCTTGGGCAACTCCAAGGGAGATTCTGGTAGGTATCACATTGTGGTTTCTAACTTCTCTTGCCTCAGCTTGTCACTTTCTGGTTTTAATGTCAATATAAACGAAACCAACCACTGGTTATTAATCAGTGGTGAGCCATAGAACATATTCTAGAAGTGTGATGAGAGCTTTACCAGTTAAAGTTTAGGGTACTTGTTTACAGGCATTACGTTTGAGGGAGATATTGGGTGTGTGTTGGTGACAAGGCCTTGATTACTCAGGTGTTGCATCAAATAGTATCAGTGACACCATTATAACCCTCATACGTTGAGCTGTTATCATAAGCTACACTCTATGCTGAGCATTTTATGTCAGTTTACAAAACCAACACATCACATCTAGGAAGCTACCCTCCCCACTTTACAAACAATGAAGCTGCAAATCAATAGGATAGGGTAATATGTGCAATACTTACGTGTTCCCACTTCTACTTCCACTGTAGGAAGGACCGTTAAGAGGAAACAGAGGATGGGGAAATCGTTCAGTAGCTAAGGTATTTGAAAGATTAGAATATGAATCTCTAGACCCCATGTAAGCTGGACATATGAGCACACGTCTGCAATCCCAATGTTTCAAGAGTGAGAACGAGAGATAGAGAAAACATGAGGATCCTTGGACGTTCATGGTCCAGCCAACCCATGGCAATAACAAACAAACGGAGAGACAGTTTCAAGCCAGGTGGAGTTGTCCGCTGCCCTTCACACATGTGCTTTCCCATGCCTGTGAGGACAAATCTGTGTTCTCACACACGTGTTTACACATGCATACACACGGCAGGCACACAGGCACACAACCATATATATGTGCCCCCACACAACAGTTTTAAAGAGAGGGTAAGAAAGGGTTCTGGGATTCTTGTTTCAGCTTTTTCCCATATCATTTCCACGACCATGATACAGTTCCATGGATCTTGTTTGATCAAAGATAATCAGCGTTGTGAGTAGCATTTGTAATTAATACTGAACACAGTAGACACTATATGCTGATGGTGGTGTTTATTTATTTATTTATTTACGTACATATAGATCCCAGTTCCCTGTCTCACCCCCTTCCCTTCTTCCTCCCTTCCATGCCCCCTGACCACCCTCCCATCCCATTCCCCCACCCACACACACACTCCACAGGGAGGGTGATGCCTTCCAGGAGGGATCAACAAAATCTGCCAAGTCATTTGGAGTAGGGACTAGGCCCTCCCTCCTGCCTCTAGGTTAAGGGAGTATCCCTCCATGGGGAATGAATATGCTCCCAAAGTCCTTTCCTGCAGCAGGGATACACCCTGGTTCCACTGTCTGAGGTCCCTTAGACTGCCCAGGCCTTCTAACTGAGACCCATGTTCAGGGGGTCTGAGTCTGTCCAATGCTGGTTTCCCAGATATCAGTCTGGGGGTCCATGAGCTCCTCCTTGTTCAGATCAACTGTCTGTGGGTTTCTGTAGCCTGGTCTTGTCCCCATTTTCTTATCACTCCTCTCTCTCTGCATCTGGATTCCAGTTCGGCTCAGGTTTCAGCTGTAGGTGTATGGCTGTATTTATATCTAGGAACTGTTTTATAGAAGGTTTGGATTGATGTTATGTAGCCTGCTTATAATGGAGTTCTCCCCACCCCCGCCCCTCCACCCTCACCTGCACTCCCAGGAGGAGCGAGATTTCACTCCAAATGTTAAGATAGGTTCTTTAAGATGGTCGGTCTGCGGACACAGAGATTCTTTTATTTCTGGGATGCTGGACCTAATGACGGGATGCAGATTATTTGAGTTGGTTAGCACTTTTTAAAGAATGTGTGTGTGTGTGTGTGTGTGTGTGTGTACAGGTGTGTGTGTGCAGGTGTGTGTGTGCAGGTGTGTGTATACAGGTGTGTGTGTATATACAGGTGTGTGTGTGCAGGTGTGTGTGTATACAGGTGTGTGTGTATATACAGGTGTGTGTGTGTGTGTGTTTGTGTGTGTACAGGTATGTGTGTGTGTGTGTGTAGGTCAGAGGACAACCTCATCTCTCATTCTTAGGAGTCTGCCTCCTTTTGAGACAGGGTTTATTGGTTTGCATCTTCTTAATTAGGTTAGATTGGCAGGGCCCCTTCCATCTCCACCTCCCTGACTCTGGGACTACAAATACCTATTTCCACCGCTGTCATCTTCTCATGGGCTCTGGAGATCTCCCTTGGGTCCTCATGCTTTGGAGACAAGCAGTCTATCAACTGAGGCACTGCTCCAGCCTGTTTAACTCTGTTGAGTCTTGATCTGTGTGAGGCCATGTACCAATGGGAACAGACACCTTCTGCTGTCATCTGTATGATCTTCCCTTGAGATAGAAAAGGTCACTTTCTCATGATTTAGAAGCAGAATTGGAGGCCTGCTGGAGTTGTTACTGTAGCATTGAAGTCAGGATTCAAACCTCCCACCCTGGCTCTGGGTCAGAACATCCTCATGCTAACAAGGTAACAGGGCATTGGTGGTTCTTCAGCTTTAAGCACTTTCTATGTTCTCAATGCTTAACACATTGTCATGGTCTTCCCTTGGACATTTAACTAGTTTGTTTCTCCATGTTCAAGTCTTCAGTTAAGTATGACATACTTGGTCTTTCCTGATGTCCTTTCTTGCTTTGTTTTTCTCTTAGGATATATCACCAAATTGAGACTTCTAAGCTTACTTGTTCCCAAGCAAATTGGGAGCATGGGGGGAGGGAAGAGGGAGCCAGGAGGAGGAGAAAGGGAGAGGTTGGTATGAAGGAGCAGAAAGATTGAGTGGGGGAAAGAATAGAGGAGAGCAAGAAAAGAGACACCATAATAGAGGGAGCCATTATAGTTTTTAAGAGAAATCTGGCACTAGGGAAATGTCCAGAAGTCTACAAGGATGACTTAATTCTTATTCAGTTTCCTTCTCCTTTTCCACCCCTCCTCCCACAAAGAGAATATAGGCTGTGTAAATGCAGAGATATTGTTTGCCTTATTCTCTTCTGTGTCCCTAATGTCTTGAATTATGTTGGGCACCTACCAGGTACTCAATGTTAGCCAATGAATAAATGATTGAACACATTTAATTTCATTGGCCATTAAGTGACATAGAAAGCTCCAAGTTCCCAGCGAGAACAAAGAAGCTTAGGGCAGCTAATGTTTCAGGACTGGACTCTGGCAGCCTGGACTACACCGTCACACTAAACCTGTTGCTGGTCAAATGCATCATAGCGATTACTGGAGTGCCTCACAGGAAAGAATGTCCACTTGTCAGCTTAAGAGATAGGACAGCATACTCTGCTACGTCGTGCCCTATTATGCTAAATTCCAGAATCAGTAGATTCTTCATGTGCTGAAAGTGGACAATAATTAAATGGCTCCTGTATGAGGGCTGGAAGCCCATATTAAAATGTGTTATTAAGAGTTTGCAAAGCACTGAATTTGGAAGCTTTCACTTACTTAGGCATTTGGAGTGTTGTTCCATTTTTATGTAGGGAATAATTCCTACTTTGGATCAACCAGATTCATTGACCTGTTTTTGTTTTGTTTGTCTGTTTGGCAGGTATATTGAGTGCACAGTGGAAGGCAATCAGTACCTAGCAGGCACAAAGCAATGTGGTGGAATTCAGTTCCTTAGAAATACATTGGCTGTGTGATATCCAGTGTTAGGGTGGTACTGTGCATTCAAATTTTATAGAGTTTCGAACTTGGAAAATAATTTTGTGGGTTGTTTTAAATCTTTGAGGAGTTTCCCTGTTACTAGAAAGCCCGTTAGAGAATTGCAGGAAATTATTAAAAGCATGTCAATTATCTTAATTTATTACTGAAGGAGACTTTTAATGTGTGTAGGTCAATATGTAGAATTTTCAAATAAAAATGAAAGGCTATATACATAAAATACAAATAGAATATATAGCAATGGAAGTATGATTGGGGAATGACTACAAATTAAACTTGAGAATAATGTCATCCAGAGAGTGTGTTGTTAGAAAGACTCAGCTACTCAGCTTCAGGGTCGTCTACTGTTTCCATTTCAGCTGGTTTTATAATTTCTAATAAGATCCACGGCGTAGCTAACTTTTGGGTTTCCTTTCAGATCATCAGTTGTCAGGTTGAGCGTGCTATTGGTCCTTTCCAGCATATCTAACGTGACTCATTAACGTTTCTCTTTACAAACTTCCAGAATGAGAAGCTGGTGCCCCGATTTAGCCACCATTTAGCCGGTCTCTTTCTCTCGGGAGGGTTGATAGGTTCCTTTGTAACACTGCTCTTGCACTCGGGACATTCTTTCTAGCGCCAGCAGAGGAGTAGAGAGTATTTGGACTGTGTGACAGAGTAGTCCAGGGATGTTCTTCTCTCTCCATCCTAGCTGCTGTCCTGTGATGCTTGTCCAGGCTGGAGTCCCACCGTCACTCTGATTTGCCTTCCAGGTCCTGTGCTGAGACCTTTCACTGCCATCGGCCTCTGCAAAAGTATCAGCCAGAGCTCCTCTTCCCCGCAGATCATCTGTAAGATTCCCTCCGAGTCTGTGCAGCAGGAAAAAGTGACAGCCTCGAGATCCTCGACATCCTCGACCACAAACACAGATTCCCTAAGCATATGTGGAAGTGCATTAGGAAGAGGCTTGGTTGCTGTCACACCAGAGATGATCCCCAAGCATCCTCATTCCCCCACTGAACGCAGGTCAAAGGCAGCTAGCACCTACCGTGTCCAAGTGGCCAAGGAGCCTCTGCCTCTCCTTGTGGGCTGTTCCTCCCATTTATTTTCCAAGAAGTTAATGAAGGTTTGCTCCTCAGCAGCCCCGCGCCCACCCCGGAGGTTCCATACGGCTTGTTCAGAGACTCTTTCGAGGCCGGTGGTGAATGCGGTGGTGAATGCTCACTTACACTGACTGCTGAGAAGGAATTGTTCTGCGAGCGCTGCCCATCTTCCAATCAATGCCTGCCCAGAACAACAGAAAGGGCCTCAGATGTATTGGTTTCCACAGAACCATTGTTAGGCTTTGTGAAGCATTTTTGAACCTAATAAATAATGTCAAAAGTCTCCATCGCAGCCAAAAATGTTCTTTTTGAAGCATTTGTAATAGTATTTTTGTTCTGCAGTGTCTCCCGCTGTTACAAAGAATCTGCTCTGTACAATGAGGGTCCGGTGCACCGCGTGCCACTTTGCCGCGTGGCCAGCTGGGATCCGAAGGTCGGGCTTTTGTTTTGCTGTTACAGGTAAAAGATTTCATTTGCCAGCCTTGGCTTAGGGCTAAGGATAGTTTCTAAGGGCCTTCAGGATGTCTATGTCGACATTTGGAAAGCATAATCCAATGCCTGTAATTTAATAGTTAACATGAAATTTGATTACTTCTGAAGTGCCTAGGGAAATCCCTCAGGCTATATGAAGGGTTTTGTGTCAGAAACCTGAAGCCAGATCTTAGCTGGAGGCTTTGAAATGCTTGGAAGCAAGTTTAATTTTTTTCTTTTTTTTTTAAAGATTTCAAAGTTTCTGATTTGTAATAGAAAAGTCTGACGACTTAGGGAATGTACTATCAAACTGGCCATTCTAAATAACATATTTTAAATATATTTGGATAAGTTAACAGGCTCACATGGCTGCTTATGACAATATAGTGTTTGGTAGCTTTATCAGTGACTTTATGGGATGCAGTGTGATTGTTCTGTCAGCAGTCTTGCAGTTTCTGCACGGGCTTGGCCTTGGGAAGCTAGACTCGTGGAGATGATGAAGATTAACTGCATTAATATTTTCCTTTTAGTTCAATACAATATACAGGTATGCCAGCATTTGAGACATTATACCTCATGTTCAAATTGAAGTCCCAGAATTTGTTGTTTTAAAAGATTTATTATTACTTTTTACTCTTATATATGTATTTGCCTGCATGTATGTGTACACACCACGGGTGTGCCTGTAACCCAGGAGGTCAGAAGAGGGCATGTGACCCCCTTAGAACTGGAAGTTTTGGTGGTGTGAGCCATCCTGTGGGAATTGAACTCAGTCCTCTTAACTGCTGAGCCGTCTGTCCAACACCTCAAACCTCAGAATTGCAATGAAGTGCTGCTGTAAGAAAACTGCATTGCATTTAGGAATCTGTTTAGTGTCCTGAGAATTAGCTAATTTTCAAAAGTAGTAGTATTTTATATGAGTAAGAAACTTTAGGAAAAAAGTGGTATATCCAAACTCTAAAGCTTTTCCAGTTAATGTGATTTTTTTTAAGGTGTGATCCTTTTATTATAAGAGAACATGTACATCGAATCCCTGGAATCAGGCTATCAAAATTCATATGATAATTGCAAGTCCAACCACATGCCCTTTGATTGGGAAGCTGGGTGGATAAACTGATGGGTTTATATAGAGATTCTGGGATATTTTAACATGTGATTTAACTACGAGTTGGCAGGCAGTGTTTTCAAAGCAGGAGAACATTGCCCAAGTAGATTAAAAAACAATGATGTAAAATTTGTAATAGCTGACGTTAAAACAGAAACTGGATTTGACATGGTAGGTGGACTCCCTACCTATTGAGGTGCAAATAAGTAAATTTATCTGAAAATTCAATGTAGAAAAGGCAGTTCTGTCTGGAAATGAGAAACAGAATCCAGGCAAAAGATGCAAATATGTGAATATTGCAGTCAGAAGCAGCTTCCCAAATCTAGTCCATTGAATACTAGAAAGATGTGATATGAGTACTTAGCCATATCTATGAGGGTGGCTCACTGTGATCCCTCTTGAGGTGGTGGCTGGGGGGGGGGGTAGAACACACTAATGTATTAGGCCCTAGATAAATTTCACAATAAAAAAATCAATAAACTATTTAACTCTGTGCATATCCACTCTATTATCAAAGACACTTTGAATATGTACAAGTATTTTTGTTTTTGAGACAGGTTTCTCTACATAACCTTGGCTGTCCTGGAACTTATTATGTAGACCAGGCTTGCCTTAAACTCACAGAGATCCTCTTTCCTCTGTCTCCAGAGTGCTAGGATTAAAGGCATACATCATATACACAGAACATACATATAATTTTTAAAAATGGTATGCATTAATATCTGGTAATACTAGCATCCTGTGGAATACATACGAAACAACACTTTAGGGCACATTGCTCTAAGCATGCCAAATCCATGTATACTGGTAAAGATTAAGGTAAATTCAAATAATTGGTGTAGGAATCAGAGACTGCCAAGCAATCCTTCAAGAATCCATTTTTACTTGAATAGTAAATCTACTTGAATGAGATGTCTCTGTCTGTTTCCTCTGTATTTGAGTACATGCATTCAGGAGAAAATTTGGTCCAACTCAGAACACTTAATGACTGATGAGAAAGTACTTCTAATCCTGACTGCCACAGACATGAGCCTTTATGCTGAACCTGGTACCAAAACTTAGATACAAAGCTATTTCCCATTATTTTGAATATACACTCATAATTCAATGTTAGAAAATACGTGCTAAGTATTGATACACAATCCAGACAGTGAGAGCAGGAGCAAGGTCTCATATACTATGGAAAATTGATTTATAGGTTCAGAATTACAGCTTCTTCTTATTTCTACAGGGATATGTGAGTTCACTTACAGCATTTATTGCCACACACTCTAAGTGTGTTATAAACAATACAAATTTCCTCTTTGTGGGAAAATAATTATATGAAAGCTACATTTGAAAGTATGATATTGACAGGCGTGAAATACTGGTGCATTAGAGGAAGAAGGTATTGACAGAGACTGATGAAGGATATTATAAGTCAGGAGTCTTTTGTAACATATAAAAAAATAATTGAAAAAGAAACTATTTATAGAGTTAATGCTTACTGTATATTAGGGGCTGTTATAAGTATTTGATATTCCCTAATATTTCATTTATTTCTTACAATGACTTTATGAAGTAGTTTCTATTGTCTCCATTTTGCAAAGATTTGTTTCTTAATGATGCACGTATAAAAATAAGCTCAAACGATAGTATAAAATTCTATCTTACCTATATTCCTAAATCTAGTATATTTGCACGTGTGAGGTGTGTGTATGTCTGTCTACCAGTATTTATAATTAAAATTGCATAGCATGCTGCTTATGCATTGGTGAGGCAAATGTAGGCACTTTGCCTAAATCCTCTCCTGAAAACAAGTGGAGAGAAGATTATAATCATAGGCTGGCAATGCTGTATGTTTCAGAGCAACGCAGGATGGGGATTGCTGGCCCCCAGCTCTTTGTTTGAAATGGCACTGAACGGAGGGTCAGAAGACAGGGAGGGTGACTCTGGAGTTTATATGAGACTCAGCAGTCTCAAGACTAGTGGTGTTGACCAGCATCAAGCTTTTGACGGTGACAGAAGGGAACATTCTAGAAGGCAAGGAAATGTTGTAGAGTTGTGACTGGAGGTTGGCATTCCTCTGTTTGACCCACATTTCCTCACTGTTAAAGCTGGGGTGGCTTGTTTGGTTTGCTATAAAGGATAATTCGATGATGAAACAATATCAAGCCAACACGTCTTGAAAAGCACGACTGAAGTATCCCTTTGTCCAGAGTGTATGCAGTGCATAGCTACTCCATTGCTAATTGTGTCAGAATTTCCTCCTTTAACACACTGACTACTGTGGATTGCCATCTTTGAATGCAAACTCTTGTTTACATAATAACCATCCAAGACACAAGAGCACATATTTAAAAAGGGAGTTTTGTCCTTTCTACTTTAAACCTTTCAAAATATGCTAAATTTTTATGACACACTACTTGTCTTAAAGTTTTAAGAAAATTCAGGCCTTGGGCAGAGCTGTCAAGGAGTTCTTACACTACTTTGAATGGCACAGAACTGAAAATATGTAAATGGTGCACTCCTGGAACTTCCCATTGATTATTTTGAAATCTGTTGAACAGAAGTCACTGAAGCTATAGAATATGGAACTTGAGATGGCTGGAAACGCTGTGATATTTTTTTCCTTTCTAGGTTTCTGTTTTTCAATGTCAGTATGACATTTACATTTCACTTTGCTATTGATTACAAATGATTCCACGTTTGTCTGCTGATGGGAGGTGTTATTCTGTATCTGTTTCTCTTATTGGCTGATGAAGAAAGCACTGTGTGGCTAGTGGCCAGGCAGGAAGGATAGGCGGGGCTACCAGACAAGGAGAATTCTGGGAGGTGTAGGCAGAGAGGGGTCATTATGTGAGCCAGGGAAGAGAGGACACGAGTCAGGCATTCTCAGGTAAGATAAGACCATGTAGAAATACATAGATTAGAGGTTATGGGTTCATAATTAAGACGGAGTTAGCCAATAACAAGCCCAAGCCCAGTTTCATAATAAAAAATAAATAAAGAAAAGCAAGACTGGTGTGCAAATGTCAGATATTATTCTGTACTGACATATGAGTAATGTCAATAATAATTAGCATTTCTATTATCACTGGTTGTGCAGGACCAATGCTTGACCCTTGTGGCTCCATCTGTTTCATCTTGTGCACTGCTTCTGACCATCACACTGCCATATGTCCCTCTCAGAAGTGCTTAGATATGGTATTGTTAACTTTCATCACAGAACCAGGAGGGCAGCAGTAGGGTACCATTTACTAACCAGGAATCGAAACACTGTGTGACCTCTGATTTTTTTTTTCCCCTCACCCAAGCTCACAAACACCATACCACAACAGCTTATGTAAAGCAGGTTCCGTATTCCATAAAATCGCGAAATAAACTGTTCATGTAGACCCTTCAATGCGTTCATTTAATTGTATTTCTTCTGAAAAGGGGGTCCTGCTATGTAGCCAGGGCTAGTCATGGTTCTCTTGCATCAGGCTCTTGAATGTTGGGCTTGCAGAAGTCGTGTCTGGCTTTGTAAAAGATTATGAGATTTCACACAGAGGAGAAAAAATAAGGCATTTTTTTTAATTTTATTTTTGTTTTATGTGTATGGGTGTTTTGACTGCACATGAGGCGGCCAGCAGACCATGTGGGGAGCTAGAGTTAAGCACAGTTGCTAACTACCTGGGTGTACTGAGAACTGAACCTGGGTCCTCTGGAAAATCACTCAGTGCTCT